GTATTTGAACCTTTCTCTGCTTTCAGGATGGCTTCTGTGGGCAAACTGTTCATCCCTGAAGATGCCTATTTTACTTCACATCTCTGGCCTTGGCCACATAGCTCTTCTCATGCTGGAAATGTCAGATATATGCTTCACAGTCAAATGTACTCTTTTTTGCTGCCTGTGCTGCGGCAGTCTGTGCGCTCAAAGCAGGTGCTGCTGCTGCCCTTTGATAAAAACACAAGAGCAAATTCTGTGTTGTCTGCACAGGCCCCTATTATAATTTTTTTCTCTTTGGGCATTGTACACGCTAGGTGTGTTTGTCTCGCCGTGCTCTTGTGTTGGGTCGCAGTCAGTGAGTAGGCTTCTACACCGGTTCTGGTCTTCAGTAGCAACTGCAGGAGACTGTCTGGCCGAGCTGAGCAGCTCCTGTGAATTCACTCTTTCTTTGACACTGAATTGAATCAAGCTTGAGATGAGTCTTACAAAACCTGGAATATCTTGTTTGTTATCACAGGAAAAAAAAAAAAGTGTTCTGCTTTACATCTTCTAGTTAAGTTTTTAAAGAGATTAATGATCTTCAGAATTTTTTACATTACAAGGTGTATTGATGGCAAGCAGAAAAATGAGTTGGAGCTGGGTTTTGTGTGTGTGTGCAGAGTGTTTCTTTCAGTTGTGAGTTAGGAATGGTTATTATGATGGAAATAACTGGCTGTGTATCTGTATATTTGTATTAGAATATCAAGTGTGTTTCTCAGTGTTTGCGTTCCTGGAAGTTCCATGGTGCCTGGTGATCCAGGACTGTGAAAATACAAAAGATTTAGTGCAGGCAGTCTGGGAGCTGAGACTAGTGATTAATCCTGCAGTTAGAGAAAGAACAAAATAAAATTATTATTTCTGTAATTATTCTTTATGAAAGCAGGAAGAGTTGTCAAGGGCTGTATTAGTTTATGCTACAGGGGCTTTCCCTAATCCTTTAAAATTATTATTCGTTATAATATTGCCCTTAATTTTATCTGAAGGGTTTAATGTGCATTGTGAAACGAGTTGTGTGCAGATGAGTCCCACTGTCCTCGCCTATAGCCATCTATATTACTGCATTTTAACTACCTAGGTAGAGATTTGCTTTAAAGAAACAAAGAACATAAAACCATTCTTCAGTTGTAAAAGCTTGGTGTGGTGGGCAGGCTGCTTTGCTATCCTAGAGGCATATTTAACTTCATTTTTCCTTTGAGTTAATTTACCTGTCGGTATGTTTAAATGACAAATTGCACGTTCTTTTCTGAAGGCAGCAGTAGCACAGAGGCCTGATTAGTTCATATGCATGACTGCTGCTGCTGGAGCTGTGCCATTTATTACAGCAGGTGATTGCCTCAGCATCGCTCAGCGTTTCTTTCAGATAGTGTTTTTAAATGGCTTTGTCAAAGTGCCGTCTATCTCGACAGGCGAAAATGCATAGTTCATTGAAACAGATGGCAACTCAGATTAATATTGCCCAGATCCATCGTTTGCTTGCTTGGATGGTCATAAAGTAACGTCCGCTGGATTTGTTGTCTTTGCTTGGAGAGCAGAACAACAAAGTCAAGAGATGATTCTTTTTAAGAGCCTCTTTTTGTAGTGTTATTGAATATGTAAGTTAAGCAAAATTACCATTTTCAATGTTGTTATTCCTTATTCTGTCAAACAGTTGAAACGAGCATTATTCATAATGGTGAGAACAACGTCTGTTTGTGTAAAACAGGTTATTGATAGCCAGAGATCCGCAAACACCCCTTGGCTCTCTGGGCCCTCCTGTACTGCGTGTTCCTGATCTTCCTTAAATCTGACTTGTTTTCTGTGGTTATGAACTGTGAAATGCTGGAACAGCAGCTTGCTTCTGGATACAGCTGTAAGTGAACGTCACGGTCTGTATTTGCCAAGAGCTTAGACTTCAAGAGGTGCTGTGTGAGTGCATGCCATTGCCTGTAGAAAAGCCTCTGGCATCTGCTTAAACCGAGCTTTTGCAGGAACTACGAACCTTACCAGAGCTCAGGGGTTCTGATGTGCAGGTTTGTGCCATAAAATGTTCCTGCTCGCCCTGCCTTTGCCACAATTTCAGTGGATGGCGTTGCCGTTTTCTGCTGGAGTTTGTTCACCGGCTGGAGGCTTGCAAGCAGAGACGGTTTTGGAGATTCTCGCAGGGCTGTTAAAAGGTGATGCTCCGTGGGGTGGGAAGAACATACTGGAAGCTCTGTTTAGAAGTCTGTGTGCTTCCCAGCTGTTTATTTAAGACTACAGGAGTCAGTTCTGCCTGCACTTACCTATCCATCAGTCACTCTGAAGAACAGACATGTATATCTCACCCTTTTGAGTAGTTGGGGTGACCTCCCCTGAAGTTGGGAAACATTGATCTCGTGACTCCAGGTGCCTGTTAAGTGCCTTGTGTCGGCATTTGCATCTAATGTCCACGTTTGTTGGTACTGAGAATCTTTATTACTGGGTTTATACATTTTAATTAACTTCTGCCTGTCATCGTTTTACAGGTAGCTCTGTTTCCAGGGTTTATATGTGTGTATACATACATACATATATAAAAAATAACGCAGTATAATATAATTGAATGGGAAGCTTTTAAATACTTTTTATGTTTCTGTCTCTGATTAGGTAATAAAACTGCCTCACCACGGCTTGCTCTAACGTAAAAAGCGGTTAGTGTCTCTGCTGCAAATGGCCAAGCCTAATTTTTTGTGCTCTGAAAACCTTGGAGAACATCCTAGTTCACTTACGGTCTCTGAATGTGTTCGACTTCCTTGTCATCTTCAGTTCATCAACCTGACAATACTATAATTTCATCAGTTAAATGGACAAAGAGCTGGTAATGCTGGCAGTGCTTTTTCCAGGGTAGGCTTTGTTTAGTAGGACTGTTCTAGCAATGTTTTGTTCCACAGAATTTTTATAAGTCTGACTTCTTTCCAGCTGGGCACCTGATATATTTTTGTTGTTAATAAATGAAAAAAAAAAAACCACAAAACCAAAACAAAACCCAGAAACTTTTTGAAAATTATGCATTCTTTGTGCACCATTCTTGCTTTTCAGACTGTGTTCTGATGTTTTTGCAGTTTATTGTTATTATGCACAGCCCACATAATATGCTTGGCTCTTGGAGACTACCTATTTATGAAAGGCACATTTGCAGTTGAATTTTTTCTCTTTGAGAATCAGCAATTACAGAAATCTTTAATGCATCACTTTTCTGCTTGCCTTGGGGACATTATCAGACGCTGTGAGACTTGAGACTGCTTCCATCAGTGTGTGTACATGGCTATGGTGTTTCACTGCTCTGCGCCAGTGGTAATAAACACCACGCCGTGAATGAAAATGCTTTTATTTGATTAAACCGATGTACTTGCAACTGATGGGAATCTTTGGCGTGTGGCTTTGTTTTGGGAGCAGAAGGAAGTGTTCCAGTTCCAGTGTTTTCAGCGTTTGCTGCCCCAGTTGAGTCCCTTTCAGCTTAAAATCGGGCAAAATATTTTTAGTTCTTTGTGTGCTGTCTCCATATTTTGAGCCATGGACTAGACTGAAATAGCAACCTGCATGTTTTCACTCCTCTTCGCAGACAAATAAGGACGTTCTGTTAGCGGCTCCCCCCTCCGAGCGCTTTACACACGCGTGCGCACACCGTGCTCCTTCGCCGTGCCTCCAGCTGGAGGTGTGGGGGGATCTCCAGAATTTCTGTGGGTAGCAGAAAAGTTCCAAATCGGGCAGCTCTGGCTGAGTCAGAGGCAGAACTGTGCTGCACTGGAGGCTGTTGATCCCTTCCCTTCCTGAGATGGCAAACACTTGGAACAAAGAGGATGGAAGATGAAGATGGTCATGCCCTTTTGGTGTCTTCTAATCCCTTTAGCTTGGCAGCAATAAATTCTGCTTTAAGACTCGAGGCAATATCTAGTACTACATAAAGCTGCTTTTTATCAGATTAATTTCCTTCTTGAACTGCACGCTTGCTTTTTTTTGGTTATTCTACAAGACTTTGTGTAAAAGTGTGGGGAAAAGGGAGCAATCGTAGGGATGCATCATTGTTTCTGCAGTGTGGGAAGCAGGGATGCAGGCACCTGTTCTGTGTCAGTGGTACATTTGAGATATTGATTGCTCTAACAAGATACGTTTTTCTGGGATTTCACAATTGGCTGTAAAACAGTGATTAAAAACCTGTCTGTAACAAGTTGAGTGTAGAAAAAGAGAAATTACTCAGGTCCTCTGAGGACCTTGTTTGTCATCTTAATCTCGCACATCGGTTCTTAAATGAAATGTTCTCTCCGTGGTGCTGTGTTTCAGGCTGTCCTTTTCCCAGCGATGCTGCCCAGAAACTCGATTAATGTGTCGTGGCGAGGGGGAAGGGGCACGTGTTATCGAGGTCTTTCTCTTACAGATGGCGTGTATTCTGTTCCCCATAAGTGTCGCTTAATTCTCATCCAACTGGTATTACTGTAGAAAGAACTTGCCTCGTTAACCACCATAAAACAGCTTTTGTAAAATTAGCTCTGAAGCAGTGCTTTGAGATGTTATTGCGTGGAACCAAGCCTCAGTTGATTTTTAATTGCTTTTTTTTGAGGGAGTGGACAGGAATGACCAGGACTAAAGAGAAAAAAAAAAATAGGTACTTCCTTCACTAATACTCCTTTCAAACTCTGCTGGGCTGCTGGCACACATCAGGCTCAGTTAACGTTAATTAGCCATGAACCATGGAGCCCATTCCCCTTTTCCTCTCTTGTCAGTATTTTATGTGTTCTGAGCATCTGCTCTTGCATACCGTTAGGAAATGCTGCTCTAGAGGACACTACATCTTCTCCAAAGACTCTTATATATACCTTATCTATGTAGTAGCAAAAAGTGAGAACATCCTCAAATAAGACATTCTAAGGGCAAGTTTGTTAAGGATTATATTATGGATGTCTTTAATAATCAAAAAATAATACTTAGTTCCTTTTTTAACTTGTTCCTTTTTTAACTTCATTTGTTTTTCTTTTGGCTTTCAGCTCAGATCGACTGATAGAAGAAACAATAAGGTAGGAATGAAATTACTAATTTTCATTCTTTTCTGTACAATCAGGTTTACGTTGAATTGTGTCCAAAGATATCAGTCATGTTGTTTATACAATAACTGCATTGTTCACAACTCATAGGCACTATTGCAATGAAATGGTGCTGGCGTTTTTTTTCCCCTATTCAAAATTGACGTGATGATGTTGCTTCAATATTTTATTCATCTCAGTTTAGAAAATTAATGTTTCTGTTCAGAGGTGAATAGCCCCTACAAAAACAAAGGAAATAATAGAGCAGAGTGAATGTCGGGTTGAACTGTTGAGGGTTTTTTCTTCCCATAGTGACAATCTTCTACAACGTGATTTTCTGTAATCCTTCAATGTATTCAGCGCCCCAGTGTGCAGCTGGTGTAGATAAGGGCTTTTCCCACCAGGGCTTGAGAGCTTATTGCTGTTGTATAGTTACTTATCTTTTGGGGTTTTTACGTAGTTTGAATACTTGAGTGATACCTTCTCTAACTGATACAGAAATTTTAGAACCATAGCATCATAAATTACTTTTATCATCTGTGCCCTTCCCAGTCTTCCATTGAACTCTGGGATTTTGCAAACCAATAATTCAGAGTGCCTGACTTAATGGTTTTAAATTTTAGATTATTGCTTTAAAAAAAAAAAGGAAGAAAGCAAGCAAGATATGCTTTCAGATAATGCATGTACTGGCATAAGTGATCAAGAAGAGTAATTAGAGGTGCAGCAGGGCTCTATATCCATTAGGGGCTGGCTAGCTTAAGTACACACAGTGGGCTAAGTATAATTAACGTGGTGGAAGAATGTGTTAAACCATATTAATGTGCAGTGATGAACCAGAAAGGGTCAGTAAAATGTCTGAAAAGGTGGATATAATCTCACCGCAGCCTCGTAAAGATATTTGCCAAACTTAGCACAGTTATTGCGAATATTTGTTTTACTTTGGGTTCTAGTCCTTCCCTGATTACACATCCTCTCCTTTATTGCCACTCTTGTAGCCCTACTCTTCTGTCGCGTAAGAATTGAATCTCTTGTTTGCTGCCACTCCAGCAATTAGAGCGTTAACCAGCATACGGTGATTCATTAAGCTTAACATCCTGAAAATTGACTCGTATTTTATCATTTGAGCTCTTCACCTAACTTCTTGATTATGTGTCATGAGAGCAGCTGAGAGGATGCGTATGCTCGAGCCTCCGTGTCGATTTATCTGTGCGAGGGACCGTAGCCGTGGCAAACTGGAGTGTAGAGCAGGGCAGCTCCTGGATACTCACCCAGGTTCCTCCAGCAGTTTTCAGCCTACTCAGAAGCTCCACCAGTAGGTGTCCTGGATGGTTTAAAACTGATTTTGAGTTTTGTTTGCATGAGCTGCAGTCCTGTGGTTGGCTACAAATCGACTGTCTGCACCGTGACTGCTTCTCACGCAGTAATCCCTGCTCATGGCTTGGGTCAGAGCTCCTTGGTGCTCTTCACTGAAAGCGTTCCTTCTGTGAAGAAATGAACTTGGGTTTTTAAGACGCTGGATTTCAGCACTCCTTGTTACATCATTTATTATCCATAGTAAATGAACTTCTTATTGTAGTTGTTGCCAAAAATGTTCTACGTTTCTTTTTGTAGAAGAAGCGCTTTTTTTAGTAGCTACATTGGGCAGGAAATGTCCTTTCATTTATATCCTCTTGATCTATTCTGACTCTGAGACCAGGGTACTTTTTTTGTGTTACTCTTTTTTGTGTCACTCTTTTTTGTGTCATCCCCAGTAACAGCAAATGTTCCAGTAGGATATTAATTGCTGGTAAACCCTACTGCATTTTAAGCTAATTTACCAGGTAGAAATTTACCCAACTTGTGATGATCAATTGCCTTATCTACTGTAAACCAAGTCACAGAGGGAATTGTGCAGGGGACGCTGTCTGACTGCAGATTCCTCGGGTGAAATGAGATGTAATTAGCTTATTCTGGCTCCTAACACTGCTCTGTCTTTACAGTTTACATCTGCTGTAGTTCATTACTCATTATTTGGGTGTAATTCAGGAAGCTAAGCAATTACTTTTTATTTTTTGGGGCGTTGTTATTCAGCAGTGACACTAAACACTGGAAAGCGTTTCTGTGTGTGCAGAGGCTTTTGCTGGCAAACTGAATACGGGTGACCCCATTGCCAGGGACTCACAGTCAGCACTAATTGCCGAACCCAAGCTCTGACTTTCTGTAGAGAAGAGAAGCAAAGAAGTGCCCGACTCTTCCTGCGTGTGGTTCCTCCACGGGAGCAAGCATACGTGCGAGCGAATATACGGCCACCTGCACTGAAATGATTCAGGAGCTAAAGCAATGAGCAGGGCTGTCAGTCCAGATGTGTTGTTAGTACTCAACTTTTAATCAGTTTTTAACTGAATTACGTGACATTGGTTCGTACTGCAGCAGAAACTTTCCAGAAACGAGTGGGATGTGATACTTGGTACTGCAGTTCTTTTGGAACAGCGTTCCCTTGGCCATATTTAAATACAAGCATAGCTTTTGCTTAATAAGTTTGGTGTTCTCAGGGTTTCATTTTCAAACATTATCACTTCTCCAAAATAGCAAATGATTTATTTCTTGTTTTCCAACAACTTATATTTTTAGGTTGGCTCAGTTTGAATTTTTTTCTCGTTCTGCATGTACAGTGTGACTTGGGCTTTTATTGTCATACTGTTCATGAGGGCTGACTCTGGCTGATTTGTTTGGATATTAACACATTGCACTAGTCCACTTTCTCTCCAAAGCCAGATCAAAACCATAGATTTAATTTTTTTAAAAAATTATCTCCTTATATATTTGGGGTATTTCTTTATGTAATAATTAGGATTTGATAAAAGGGGAAAATTCACTTGCAGTCAGTCTTGACTTTGCAGAACAGAAAGGCGTGAATTAGATTTTGAGTCTTAGCTCTTTTCAGGAGAGCATGCCAGAGAGTCTAGGCAAAATCCCTGGTGTTTCTGGGGAAATGTTCCTTTTGTTTTCATCTTAGGCTTCATCAAAAGACACAATAATCTTTAAAGTAATTTAAAAGATTGTGTGTGTGTGTGTACGAACGCATATATATATATGCATGTGTATATTTGTAGCTATGAATATATATGTATACACAAAGAACAAGTGATAATCATCAGAATTTTTAGCAATGTAAGCCTAGAGCATGCATTTCTATGCAGAGTCACAGAGGCCATTCCCTTGATCATAGGCGTTGTCATGAATTTAAATGAACAAGTGTGATTCATGGCCTACAAAATGAAGCAGAAGTTCCAGTAATACGTGAACTATTTGATTTTTAAAAACATGTCTTGTTGCTGTAGAGCTTTGTTTTGGTTCTTCATCAGCGTGGATGTGACTGAGCTGTCTCAGTGGATGAAGTTGACTTCTTGGTACGTTTCACCAGATAGTACGCTGTATGTACCCGGCTGCTACGTGGGGGGAAAATACCCAAAAACCAAAACGTTGGTCTGGGCAGAAACCCTTTGCTTCCAAGTCAAGCAGCATTGGAGGTGTAGCTCTGCGTGTTCGACTAGTCCGAGTGTGATACTGGCTGGTTTATTGCTCTGTGCTTTTTTGTGCCAGTAAAGACTGCAAACTCTGTACAAATATCAGTTGTTTTACTTTTGAAGAGATATTTGGTCACTTGTGTACCCGCAGCACTACTGAACGTTCCAAGGACAAACCTGAAACGATTGACATTCTGAGGAGACAGGGCGGCGAGCACGGGGTTGGGGATACTCCTGCTGCTCTGCGGAAGAGACGGGTGGGCGCTTTGTGGCTGTGCACTCGGGCTTACCTAGAAGAGACTTCTCCAGTAGTGCCACAGCCTTTAGTGCTGTACTTCAGCAGTGCTCTAATGTTAAATATAGAGAGCGGAATACCATCTGTCTTTAGAGACTTGGTTTACACCCAACTCTAGGAGCTCAAGCCAGTGCGGCACCGAGAACAGCTCATGCTGGTTTCCAATGAAGCGTTAAATCAGGGTCATCTTGATTCCGGTAAAAGAAGCATTTAATCCTTTATTGTAAATGTTGTCCAGAAGTTTCAAAATGTAAGAAGAAGGTATTGTTGTTGATCTGGGGAGATTACGGTGTTGAGTAACTAAATCGGGCCAATATCATGAATGGGAAGAATATGATTAATTTTTAAAAAAATGCATTTGTCGGTGAGGAAATGGCAAGAGTATGTCAGTGAGCATATGTTAGGGATGGGAAGGAAACCAAAACTGTCTGATGAAGGATATGAGGAAGCTGCAGTGCTCCAGACTGTGCAAGGCCAGTCGGTGGCCTGGTTCCCGGGCGCGGTGTGTTTGCTGGTAGCGCTTACATTGAATAGTCTCCTTCACAGATCTAAAGGCTTGGATAAACCAGCTCATGTTTTGAGTAATCAAATTATATGTGAAGAACAGTGCTTTTTGCTTGAATTTTGACTTGTTAAATGGTAGCTGGAATACAGTGAAACTCTTTTTCATGGATATCACCATTGCATTTCATTACCAGACCGTATCATATTAAAAATGGTAATCACTACAGTTGTTTTTTTTTTTTTCTTCAGAGCTCTTCAGTCAAACCATTGAGCTGCATTTTTCAAAATACCGGATAAAAGAAATGAAGAAGGTTCTGATCTTGTAGGATGTCCGGTTAGACAGTTACATCCTGCCTTTTTATGGGAGGTGGACAGTTTCACTCCTCGGACGTTAAAGCAGGAACTTTGTGTTCCATGATAATCTGTAACAATTATTTCCAAAGGCATCTTGGAGATGTCTCAGGAACACTTTATATCCTGGCAATCATCTTGTGTTTTCACTTCTGTAAATTAATGGATGCCTTAATGAGTCATTGGATGCATCTTATGAAAACATGTGGCTTAATTCGGGAGTGCTTTGAGAAATGCTGTATTAAAACTTCATCTGGACCAGTATTGCCTCAGTGGGGAGGTGTAAGACAAGAAGCTGGAGGCTACTGAGCAAGCTTTCCTGTGTACGGTTAGGAAATATTTTTTTTCCTCAGTTCCTTGTAATTCAGAATTTCCTAAGTGCTCTTCTCAATACCAAATGTAATGTTTTTTTTGCGAGCTTGTTGCTTTTTCCTTTAGAAAACTGAAATACCTGTATGCCGAGTTGTATATAATCTGTCAAATGCCATATCTTCTCATCTTACCCTTGATGGTAACTGCTTTTTCTATGTTGATACACAGCTTTTTATTCTCTGCTCAGCGTTTCTGTGAACACCTTCTCTTAGATGCTTTTCTTTGTGTACTCGTGCACTGTTGGGGTAGGCAATGATGCCATTATTTCTCCTCCAATCTAATTTTCACTTTCTTTTCTTGTCATTGTAGTCCTGGAAAGCTCTCCTGTGTAATCCATCCAATGAATCAGTTGCATTTCTGGGTTAGATGAGTTAGTATATCCACAGGAACAAGCCCACATGATGTGCTGAGTAGCAGGACACACAGTCCAAGGGGAGAAGCTTTGTAGACTTTCTTCTGTTCTTTTTGCAGAAGCAAAGAACATTGGTTAATGGATTCTGGCATCCCCTTTATAAACACCAAGGAGGCGACTGCAAGCCCTGTTGCTTCCAGTAAATAATGAGTTTCATTTTCACTTTGTGCTGATTTGGTACCTCAAAAGGATAAAATAAAAAAATGCTTCATAGCCGTCTGTGAATAAAAAATGCTTGAAGGTTTTTCTTGGTTCTGCCCTGAAGCTTCCATATTTTTTTTTATATCTAATACTTCAAAACTTAGTATTAAAATGTTACATCTGTTCTTATAAAGCTGCTGATTTAAAATGTCGGGGTTTTGCCTACAGATTATCAAGCTGTTTATATTCTCTTTATGACTCAAACTCCCAATTTCCTAATATATGTCCAAGTTTACCAGAATACTAATATAACCTTAAAATAATATATTGATCTGCCCCGTCAATGCACGTTGTTCTATTTAAAAGAACTCGCTGTACAGAGCTTTTGGGATGGTCTTTTCTGTGACCTGAAAGCTGTGAGGGCCATAGGATGGCCCTTGAGTCCCCTGTGTCTCACATCTGGCTGTGTGATGAGCTTGCCTTGCTTTCCAGGGTATTCTGCTCCTGCTTTTTTTTTTCGTACCGCTCACAGCCCTGGGGCCTTGGCTTGGTGAGCTCTTAGCTTTAATGGGCAAAGCCAGAGTTGGAAAAGGTGGCCTCCAGCTGAAGAGGTGGTAGCAGATTTTTTTCCTTTTGTTTTTTTTTTTTTGTTCCTTTGTTTCTTTTTTTTTTTTCCCAAGTTTACCTGGCACATTATAGGAAGGCTGGTTCTGTATCAAGGGCTACTTGAGATGGAGTAGGCAGATACAATGGAAGGGAGCCCAAAGGAACTCACTGCTCCCAAAATACTTCAGGGATCATTGATCTGATCTTCTTTAAGATGTTTGTGAACGGTGATACTGACCTTTTGCTGTAAATCTTGAAGGACAACTGTTAGGCTTGGCTCTGCTGGTTTTTGCCAGCTATCCTTGCGAAGCTGGCTGCAGCGTCCTCATAGGGAATGCAGTGGTACATCGGAGCTGCTAATGCGGGAGAATCCGAGCTTTGCCCACCTATCTGGAGTCTGAGGACAGCGTTCGTCCTGAGCCAATGTAGACCTCAACACTTTGTTGTGTTTAAATGTCTTCATAGACCTGGTGATGCTGTGTCCCCGCTTTATTGTCCAGAAACCTTCTGTGTAAGCCTCTGTAAGCTCACCTCTGTGAGCGGTGTTGGGTCTCAAGCAGCACTTGCATCTCCTCTTGACCGGCACGTTTGCTTTGCAGATTGATTTTTAATGTGTGTCAGCTCTTATTTGCTTAATACTTCTGTAGCTGTTGTATCCTGATGGCAGACAAGAAATTTCATACGCTCTCTAGAGTGGAAGTAAGTATGGGGTGTCTGTGATTAAACTTACTTCTACATTTAGAACTTGTGCCAGAAGAGTACCTCCAGGTTTGCTGGTGATGTGATGCCATTTTTTTCTTGGGGTTGGGGAAGCCAGAACACTGCCTGTTTCAAGAAATCATAGTGTTTTCAGTTGTTAATGGCTTATATAAAAAGAGAAATCATTGAAGTGTAAAGGATAGAGATTAATGGAAAAAATGTCATTTCATTCACATGGTCTTACCTCATTCATTGTTCTCTAAAGAAGCGTTGCCTGCTTGCTTTCCCCTTGTTTTAGCTGCAGATTATTCTTAGCACCAACAACTTGATCCACTCTTTTTTTTCTTTCTCCAGCATTGCCATGGCAACTAAAGAAAATATGACTTCGCAGAGAGGGATGTTGAAGTCAATACAAAGCAAGATGAATACCTTGGCTAGTATCCTTTCCTAAAAATTTGTGTTGCCAGTGCATAAGAAGAGGTATAGTAAAATTTTTCCACTCTCGTTTGGGGAACAAAATGCTTTGCCATGTCAGTGGCTGTATAACCTGTAGAGGTATTGTCATTAGTGACAAACAGACCATGTTGGAAATAGTCTCACTCGATAATCTGCTTGAAGCATCTTAATGATGAACGTGGTGAATAAGTTGTTTTCACTCTAAATACTGCATATAAAGCAATGTAGCTTAATTTTCAGGTAGAGATCTGCAAGGGCATTTTATGGCCTTCCCTGCGATATGTTTTCATAAAAGTATAATTTCATTTTACTTGGTTTTTCTTTCAAGACTGGTTAGAGCTGAAGCTTGGCGTACATTGCTGCTTGCTGCAGTTCGCAGCTAAGAGTATTCATGACCTGAGCATCCTCTTGTCTGTCACAGTCTTGTAAATGTTAAGATTTTGGTTTGTTGGTTTCTCCTCATATTCTGTGCTCATGGCTAAAGAATGTGCCGGACTGTCAAGTCATGCATGTTTGTAGTTTTCCCCCTTACTCCTTCCTTTCTGTCATAAGGGCCCAAAGAACAACATTAGCATCATTTGATTAGACAGATTATATCCTGAAGAGATGTATCTTGGTAGCCCATAAATTTCATTACAGTTCTTAGCAACTGGCAAGAACAAAAAAAAATTCAATAAGCTTTGGCCTTAAAAGATTCTTGGTTCCAAAGACATGAAGCTCTGAAACTCATTATCTTGTTGGCAGTTGTATTTTGTACATTAAAAGATAGATTTACATCTTTATGATTTTACAGGAGGAGGAGTTCTTCCTTATGTACTATACTTGAACACTGCGTAGTCATGCAACGTGCATGATTTTTCTGTCAAATGCCTTTGGTTGTTCCCTGCACCGGTAACAGAATTCCATTAAATAAATGCCACAGATGTTTTATATAACTGCCCCATTTACTTCTTTTTTTTTCATTCTCATTTAAACACAGTTATTAAAAGTAACTAAGCCTCACATATTGGAGATTAAAGTGTATCAGATGCTGGTAATTGAGGTGATCAGGTGATGACTTCGGTGTAAATGTGAACTCTGAGCTGGTCTGTTCTCTCTTTCCTCTGATTGTCTGTTGTTGGTGAAGTACAGTTGGAATCATGCTAACTGTCCCTTGAGGTTTTTTTACTGCATCCACTTTCTCCAGCTTGGGAGTAGTTCTGCGTTTTTTGCAGTACTGGGATTTCCACATACCGAATTTGGGGCTGGTTAGTGCAGATCCTGTTTGCTGATAGGACCTTGACTCAGACTCCTTAAAGATCGGTTTCCAGCAGTGAACAGCCTGATTCAAAGGATCAACCTTCGGAAACGACGAGATTCCCTCATCTTGGGCGGCATTATTGGCATCTGTACCATCTTACTGCTGCTATACGCTTTTCATTGATGGATGTTGCCCCACGGACTCTGCTAAACTCATCACCCCCATTCCTCCCCCCCAGGCAAGGAAAAGTGAGTGGGGGAAGCGAGAGACTTCAGCCTGCTCGTGAGGGCTGGGAGCGTCAGCATGGTGTCTAGAGCTTATGATGGTAGACTGCGACACTGGGTTTGGGTTGAAGCTGCAGTGTTTCCCCTTCCCTGACATATGTCTTCCTTTGGTTAAATTTTGTGGGATTTGTCTGTCTTTAGTTCCCTTTCTCACTGCAAGGTAGGTGAATGTGGGACACTTACCAGAACCTGTAGAACAGTTTCCGTGCTCAGCGGTGCTGGGGAGGTCTGTTGTTGGCTGGTAAGTGGAAGAAGATTGTTAGTGCTGGCCTTGGGTGGAAACTCTGCAGGAAGCCAGTTTCCTCTGAAGGCCAAGCACAGTGCTGAACACTTTTTGCCCTCTGAGAAGAAAATTGCAGCTTTAAACCGTCAAGTTGTTTTACTACTAAATACATGTTCTGTAATTCTTTTTAACTCATGGTTGAGATACTAGTTATTTCTGCGTAATTTGTGCTGTGAAAACTGTGCTTCACATGAATTCCTCAAAGTAAAAAAAATGGATCGTTCAGTTCACTTTTTGCACAGAATGGGAATAAACTGCCCTCTGAGGAAGACTTGTAAGGTTTCTTGTGGCTTTAAAAGGACTAACAAGTCCCCCTTGGTAAAAAGGGAGCACAGTGTCCTAGCAGCTGTTTACTCTACTGTTCAGTCATCTGAAAAGTGACCAAACATGAGTTCACCTAAAAGTAGTCTTTTGGGTGTAAGTACTTTGATTTTGGCTGGCGTCGTAAAGGTCTTTATTATAAAGACATGATAAGCAGTTTGAAAAGTCTATATTGTAATTTAGATAAAGTTCTTCTAATAGTGTTAATATTTTTACACTGTAAGATATAATTGAAACCGTCAATTGGAAATTAAAATTATGATGGTCATACTTGGGGCAAATGTATCTGCGTGCAAAATTTTGGGACATAATTCCTCACAGTACAGAGTTGAATGTATGACTGGTGAAACAAGTATTATTTACCATTATCTGGGGGAAAAAAACATCTTTTTGTCCAGACATGCAACATGAATCCTGTTGTGTTTGCGTCTTTAAACAAAGCTGATGCCAGGAATGGCTTTGATATTGCAGATTCACAAATGATTTTTTTTGTGCTCTTTCAACAGCTCTTTTCCATCTGTCATATCATAACCCAATAAATTCAAACTGAGGCACTGAAATATCTTTCTAAGAACTTGATCAACTCTTTTCACAATCAATTTACAGTGCTCCTAACAGATTTCATGTATGCCGTTGCCCACAAATGTCAAATAGTCTCCAGGTTCTCTTCTGGAACAGAGTCTAGCGGGACAGATGCAATTTTTTACTGCTTTTTATAGTGTCTGTGAAGTACCTGTTGGAGGGAGTAGAGCCTTGTGCCTGTGTAGCGTGCAGAACCACACTGTTGCACCAAAAATGTTTGTTTGGATTTGAAGGCTCATCTGCAGACTAATAACTTTGTGCTAAAAATTTGACAAAGACTTCTAGGCGGTCATCTTGGCGTTGGGATTAGAAAGCATTTGGAATTAATACATGTAAAACTGTGGGGCTTGTATTTTAAATAAAGGGTGATTATTCGGTTGATTTTGGGAATGTTCCTGATTTGAAATGAAGTGTTTATTAAAGGGGTTTATGAAAAACTTGGATGGGTAAAGGAGGTTTATTAGTGGATCTGCGTGCTGGAAGCTCAAATCTCTCCTCCCCGATGCTTTTTCTTTGATTCCACCACCACCCTAAGGGACCCTGATCAGCAGTCGTGCTTCTGTTTAGGATTTGTAGGATATGGTTGCTATATAGTTGGCAATATAAGATCTGCAGTACCGTAAATAAATTCATTTATTTAATCTTATAACAAGTCTTTTTACTGGACTGAATTGATTATTTGGTGCATATATTTAATCTTACTGTGTGAAAAAGCTGCTATGGAAAATATGTAGATTATAATAAATATGTAAACATAATTGATTTTTCATGTTATGAAAATGTTATGGAGGAACTGATATATTTTAGTATAAAATAATGGAAATATGCTGAATTGTCTCTGATAAAGATTTACTGGAAATGGTTTCACTGTTGGCAACCCCTCCATGGTTTTTATTTGTGTTGGGTTTGTGTTGAAAAATACATTTAATTAATCTTGCAGTCCTCTAGCAATGCGAGCAGGCGTTCTGCTTCGCTCTCTGAAGTGGTGCGCTTGCATGCAGCCGAGGGGAAAGACTTGCGAATTCTTCTCAACATCCCTAATAACATGGACCTGCAGTTGGGGCAATGGGTTGTAAAATGAAACCAGAGGATGGTAGTGTTTAATCTCAAGCCCCAAAATATAGGTTTGTATGTCTGCTGTTGCTAAATATGTTCTCCAAGTGTAGTTCCTCTTGCTCTAAGAAAAAAAAAGTAATTAAAATCTCATTTCTGCAATTCCTGGCAAAAATTGCAGTTTCTGCAATTCCTGGCAAAACTGCAGAATTGTGCTGAGAAAGTTACTGCTAAGCCATACAAGTGAAGTGAGAAAATCTGTAATGTTTCTTCAGGACTCATTTCCTCCCAATAACGCTCTTTTTAAACTTCTACTTTATTCTTGTGAGTCCACAAGCACCTATTTAAAACGTGTCCAACAACCCTTAGGTAGACACTAGAACATCAGGGATCATATCGATGAGTTTCGAGGCCACACTTCACATGGCCGGGTATCTCCCTATCCTTGCTTTGGAGGCTGTGTTTTCTTTGTGTGGCTGGAACCCCAGCCGCAGCTGGAGCTTCTCCGCAGCCCTTCCCAGCGAGCCGGAGCCAGGGTGGAGGCAGGGCTGTGCTGTCCTGTGTGTCTCTGGGACCAAGCAGTGCCGAGCTTCTGGTGGTAGGAGAGTTTGTCCTTCCTGGGACATATATATATTCACCAATATCCATTTTGGGAGCTTTTGGATGTTGAAGCGTGGTATAAATCCTGCTGGATTCATGACAGTGAATAATCAACTAGAATTTGCCCTTTGTCATTTTGGAAGTTCTTTCTTTTGGACAGCTTTAAGGTTACTGTGAAAGAGTCAGTTCCTCGCTGGATGTTGAAAATGAAAGAGCGAAGTAGATTTTTAGGTGATAAGAAAGTTTCAGATAAATTTACTAACAGTTTGTCCTACAGGGCTGTGTCCTCTGAGGAGCAATGTTCCTGAAGCTCCCCCAAAGCTGCTACAGAGGCAGAAAAGCCTAGCCCACCACTTCTGGCTGTGTAACTCATTCATCAGGACTGTTTGAACTCTCTAAACCTAGCAGCTTGTTTCCCAAGATCACTTGGTGCATAACCTTTTCTTATTTTTTACTTTTTTAACCCCCCAAAGCTTTCATTTGAAACAGGAAGGAGAGGAGGGATCACTTCTGAAGGAGGAGAGAATTCTGCAACTCCCTGTAGCAGTGTCGGATTGTGCAGTCCGTCAGAGCAGGGGCTGCAGTCAGAGACACGCTGAGACAAAGGTGAGCCCTAGTCCATGGGACATCTGCAAGTCCTCTTGGTGCCCTGTATCTCTCCTGTCAACTGGGTATTTGAAACCAGGGGGGATGCTTTCGGTTCCGAATACATGAGCGGCTGTTGGTCTACTGCTGAGTGAGGAAAACAGTTTAAATCAACACTCAAGGCAAAACCAAACCTTTCTCACAAAATAGCCCAGTCCACACCCCTGTAAATGAGTTTCTGATTGCACTTTCTGATTTTTTGCTTTTCATATAGCTTCTTGAAACTTATTTTATTGTAATTGTAATTATTTTTGTTCTCACCTATTGTGCTTTCTCTGTATTAAAAAAAAAAAAAAGCTTTGATATGTAATTTAATAATAAATTAGAATTCTAAGCAAGATGCTTGGTTCTTTCCCCCTGGCAATCTGCCTACCTAAACTGCAGGGAGGATGCAGAGAAGATTCATCTCTCCGGTTTGGGATTGTCACTGAACGTACAAATCAGTTTGTTCTCCATTTTTTTGTACCAAAGATCAAATGTGATGGAGCATTTCCTCACCTTTAATGCTTGGTTTGGCAGGACGTCTTCCTCCTGCCTCTATGTACAGACCTGGACTCCCCTTCTTCCCTTCTGTTTCAAGCATCTGCAGCGGAAGGGTCTGAATACAGTCATGGCTTTTTTTCCTGCTGTTCTTTGACAGATGGAACAAGGATAATTTTTTTTAGAGGTAAGCTTTAAAAAGTTTTCTATATACCCATAGTATAAAACACTTAATTCCCACTTGCACACCAAAACTGATGCTGATTTGAAGAGCCTTCTCGGCATAAGGTGCCTCCTCCATTTTTTAATACACTTCTCAGTACTTTGGTACCTTTTCTTTCCCTTCTACAATCAGAACACAATCACCAAAAATCAACTGATACTTTGAATGTGGTACAGGCAGTTGTAAAAACCCTCTCGGTGACGTTCTGTCATACCTCATAGTTCTCCAGCACAGCTGCGGTCTGGGCTGCCTCCATCCTTCAGTGTTCAAACCAGGCAGCATCATGCCCGAGGGTCCCGGCTGGATCTGGTGTTTCTGCAATTGGTGCTAGATCTTTCAATGCCACTCAAATTTATTTTCTCAAACAAGAAAATCTGCCTGGCAGTGTGATACCTGACTGTTTGCGTAAGGCTTGGAGTTCATTTCCCAGCTGTCGTGCTGTGCCTGTGATGCTGCTCTAAAGCAGAGAGAGGTACCTGTGTCCTTAATGCGCCTGCTAAATATTCAGGAATGGCCATATGCTTTCTCGAGGGAAAGGGTTGACTGTGTGTTTCAAGTCAGAGAAGAAACTTCAAAACCTGTTTTGAAAATGGAAAGGCAATTCTGGTCTCAGATAGTGGGAAGCCCGGTTAGTTTTTCCAGTCTCGGCAGGGGTAATAAGTGGTGCATAAAATTCCATCGTCTTTTGGATTAGAAAATAAATTATTAATGG